GCTTTACGCGAGCAATTTCAGCACCCAGCGGCGAAGCGGGCTGGCGGACTCGCGTTCAGGCGACCAGGCAGGTGGCTGACGCATGTTGCCTCCTCTGCAGTCGCCTCCACCTCACTGTCCAAATTCTCAGCATCATGCAGACGAGCCAGGGCACGTCGATCACGTCAGGGATGAGAGCACTGCCGAATAGTGCTACGTTGGAGAGGTTCCTGTGAGAAAAGCCATTGCTGATGCCGCGCAGGCGCTTTGGGACCCTTTCCTGCACGGGAGCGAAAACCATCTCGACATTTGGAGCGGTCGTAGTCGTACTCAAACCCTTGTTGTCTAAAGGTGGTGAAACAGGTATATCAACGATCTTGAAGCCCTTCGGAAAGCGCAGCGTGATCACTATGACGGAAGTCAAAACCACTGCGCTCAATCCGAACCCAAGCACTGGCTCCGTAGTGCGTATAACGCGGGGGTTTGCGCCCCACTGAGAATGCCGGAAAGTTTTTGTGGTGAGGGGGGAGCACCGCTGCCTCATTTGGCCGCAGTACCCCTGCAATGGGCCTCTGTCCCCCAAACAACGACGCACTCACAGGCTCACGTGCGGTCGTCGGCGTTGGCTTCGTCGCGCCTGCTGGTGCGTTGGGCGACTTCCCGTGAAGGTTGCAGAACAGCCATGCGCACAAGCTACTCGGGGAACGGTAGGTGGTACCAATTCGGAGGGTGAGAGAAGCGCGAATGTGCGTCGACATCGCACTCTGCGCGTCTTCCCTGGGTCGCGAGGCGGGATCGCTCCCGGTTCCGACACAGACTTGAATTGCGGGGACTGGTGGATGCGAGAGAAAGCACGTCAGCAATACAATAATATGTCGAGCGGCACTTGTCCTTCTCAGCAGAGAGAGCTGTCGCGCCGGCGTTTCACCCCGGTCGGCAGCCAGGCTCCTATTTGAGTGGGGATGAACAGCAGCGGCAGGAGTGGAGACAGCGGAAAGAGTAAGGGGACCAGTGAAAAGCGGAGGGGAAGAGAGCGGCGAGACAACGAGGAGAAGGACTTGGATCCAGTGGAGTGGCCCGCGCTAGGGCAACCACACCATTCTGAACGACGGAAGCAAAGCACCCATCCTAAAACGAGGCCCGTGTGCAGACGGAGCACCACTTCGAAACACCGAAAGCATTCTGATTCGAAAAAACCGTATGAATGACCCACATGTGAAATCCCGACGTCTTCGGGGGCGAAAGGAAAGTACGATTCTGATTCCCTTCACAGTGCTTGCGCTTGGGGTTTTTACTTTTTTGTCTGGCGGATCTGTGTTCGCTGTCGCCGCCCGGTCGCCGCCTCGGTGGCGAGCTGACGGCTATGTTGCCACCGTTACCGCCCCGTCGACGCCTCGTCGCCGCAACGAGGACTGAACCATATAGATCGCACAACATAGTTTACAGTACATAATTTTCACCACATCGATCGCACCGCATGGATCGCATCACATCGTTTAAACCACATAAATTACACCATCGATCGCAACGCATAGATCGCACCACATAGTTTGAACCACATATATTACATCGCATCGATTGCAACCCATAGATTGCACCACATGTGTTGTACCACATATATTGCACAATATAAATCGCAAGGAACCACCTAGAAAGCACTTCGTAGATCGCACGATAGATAAGATAATAGAAACATATCGCATTATAGATTGCACAACGTAGGTCGCACCACATAATTTGCATCCCATCGATTGCATCACACATACTGCTGGAAACACACTGTTTGGGGCTCACACTAACTAAAACTAAATCATCTCACATGAAGTCGAGGGGACGGACAGGACGCGAGGCGGAGGTGAAGGTATTGAGAAGGGGGGGAGAGAGAGAGAGGGGGGGAGAAGGAAGGGGCGAGGGAGGGAAGAAGGAAAGGGGAGACCGAAACGAGCTGCGGGCTACAGAACAACAGCAACCACGCGCTGCTGCTCACGTGTGGGCCGCGTCGGCACCAGCGTCAGTCCGAGGCAGGGACGGTAACGACGAAGACGATGAAGACGACGAAGATGACGACGAAGACGACGAACATGACGAAGACGACGAAGACGACGAAAACGACGAAAACAACGAAAACGACGAAGGCGACGAAGGCGACGAAGACGACGAAGACGACGACGACGACGACGACGAGGCGCAGATCCGCCGCGTCTCTGGAGCTCCCTGGAAGTCTCTGGAAGTCCCTGGAAAAGGCCGAGAACGCACAGCCAATCAGCACACGAAGGACCCACGGTGAGGATGCAAGGGCCTTGAATAGAGAGAGGACCAAAATCCACCCCCACAATAACCACCCCGACACGCGAAGCCGTTGAGTAAACGCGCCCCTAAAAAAAATCGAACAGGGCAAGGATGTTTAGCAAACGCCCAGGGCCGTTTAGCAAACGCCGATTATCGGGTCTGGATAGCTTTTCTTCCCTTGGTTGAAGGCCATGTCGACGCTTTGCGAGTGGGGCACGGCCAGCGACAGCGGCCAAGGACCGGCCAAAGTGGGAGGACGCAAGATTGACCTTGGAAAGTCGATCATCCGGGGAAAAGACGCAAAGATAACCTTTTTTTCCAAGGATCGATTGGACATCAATTCACGCTTGAAGAAGCCGATGTATAACAGAAGTGCCGCAGTCATCAGGAACGCTGCAGCAACAAAGGCAGCAACAGGCGCGAGGATAAAAAGACGCAAAGGTAACCTTGGAAAGTCGATACTCTTGACGATGCGGGCCGACCGTAACACAGCTCGAGGATCGTTGCGCCCAGACCTCCGATGCCGAGCTTCTGCTCGGTGTGGGCTCCCCGGAACTGTCGACCCCCTTCCCTTGGCAGTTTTTGATCACGAGCCGATTTTTCTGCTCCAGGAGCCGAGGCGGCTCCAGAAGCCGCCAGTTGAGAGAAGTGCACTGGCAAAAATCGCGACCTCGCGGGGGCGCGTGGATCCCGACCCATTCTTCTACGGATGCAGAGCCCCGCACGGCCTCCCAGTGGCGCAACTGAGACGAGAGAGATACACTGGCTTTGACAAGAAAACCTCAAGTTTCCAGGTCCCCGATACAGCATCGAGGAAAAGCAGGAAAAGGTTGATATGTGTAAAAAGGTGTGGGAAGGTGGAGGTACTGTTGGACCCCTCCCTACGGCCGTCTTCGGTGGCCGAGGGGCCGTAGGGAGGTCCTCGGCCCCCTCCGTCGGCAATTGACGCCATGAACTAAGAAGTGTACAAGGATGGGGGCCAAGACCCCCCGCAGCCCCTATGATGGCAGCTGCCGCGGGGGTGGGGCCAATGATGGTCCCCACCAGAGTGGCTGAGGCCTTTGATGGTCCTCGCCGGGGAAAGGGGGGGAGAGGTCGACGAACACGGCGTCGTAGCACAGCTTGAGTCCTGAGGCGTAGAATCCTGACAGGAAAAACCTGGAGCTGGGGGCCGAAAAACAGGGGGGCAAAGGATGGGTGCACAACCTTGGCGCGGACAAATCGCGCCCCCCCGCCGATCCCAGACATATCCGAGGGGCACGGCCTCGATAGCGGATGGGCTAGCACGCCCGTTGCAGCACCGGGTCCGTGACACGGGCGACGTGGGAGATGGAGAAAATAATTCGCACCCGCCTGAGTCCTGGAGTGCGGAAGCGCCTTCCACATAGGTTTCGCCTCCATGGTGCAACAACCCACGGTTTGGAGTCCACGACGGCAACAGATTCCTGGTACGCTTAAGGTTTTCGCTTTAACACCCCAAGTGGAAAAAACACCCAAGCATTTCAAGCAACATTTTCGAACCCAAAAGGTTGCCTGAAATGCCTGCCATTTTTGGCCGATCCGCAGGGCGAGGAAGAGAAAGGGGCGACGAAAGCAACAATGAGGGGGCAGGGGGGAGGGAGGAGGGGGAGGAGGGGGAGGAGGGGGAGGAGGGGGAGGAGGGGGAGTGGGGGCGCGGGGGTGCCTGGGAAGGGAAATAACAAGGCTTCCGCCGCCTTCGGCCGAACTTCCGCCGGCCATTTCTTCTTTCGAAGCGGTTGTGAAGACACGGGGGACAACGACGACGGCGACGAGGACGACGACGACGACGACGACGACGACGACGACGACGACGACGACGGCGGCGACGGCGGCGACGACGACGGGGGCGGCGACGGCGACGAAGACGACGACGACGACGACGACGACGACGACGACGACGACGACGACGACGACGACGACGACGACGACGACGAACGACGACAACGAGGCCGACAGCGACGAAGAAGCGCCCAACAGACCCGCCGAACGACCAACACGACAGACGACCGAACCCGTCCTGGGAAAGGTCGGCTTGGGGTGGGGAGGGGGAACGACCGCATGAATGACGCCGCGGCGCGGTGGCACATGTGACACCGCGGCGGCACGGGCCGAACCGTCACCCGGGCGGTAGGGTGGCACAGCGACGCCGCATGAGTGACACGGGAGCCTGACGGAACCGCGTGGCACGGACGACGCTGGGCGAATCTTGGAGTAATGGTGAACTGGTTGGTTTATGACGCCATAATGTCATTGAGAGTGGTGTACTGACATTGACAGGCACAGTCAGCCGGCAGGGGATAAATCCCGTTCGCGGCCCCATCGAGGAAAAGCAGGAAAAGGTTGAAATGTGTAAAAAGGTGTGGGAAAGTAGAGGTACGTTTGAACCCCTCCCTACGGCCGTCTTCGGTGGCCGAGGGGCCGTAGGGAGGTCCTCGGCCCCCCTCCGTCGGCAATTGACGCCATAAACTAAGAAGTGTACAAGAATGGGGAATGGGGGCAAGACCCCCCGCAGCCCCTATGATGGCAGCTGCTGCGGGGGTGGGGCCAATGATGGTCCCCACCGGAGTGGCTGAGGCCTTTGATGGCCCTCGCTGGGGACCATCAAAAAGGAGGAAAAAGACCAGTGGAGGAAGGCGGACGGGGGGAGGGAAGGAGGGAGGGAGGGGTGGAAAGATACTGAAAGAGGAGGAAAGAGAAGCGAGAAGGTGTGCCTCCTTTCGCAGCGGCAGGATAGCGCTCTGCGTGTACTGCAGGGCCGCGGCGAACCCCATGGCGGGTTCCTGTGCAACGAAGCGGCTCCACCGACGGCGGCCGCTGCTCTGGCTGACGCTGCCGCTGGTGTTACCGCTACTGATGCTGCAGGTGGGTCCACTATAGCTCCTTCCCCGTCTCCTCTTCCTCCTCCCCCTCATCCTCTCTTCCCCTCCCCCTCCTACCCCAAGCTTTTTCGTAATATTCCTGGTAGTATTGGTGTTAATTTGCCGGCCCATCGGGCCAGGGGCGTGCTAAGATCCCTGGTAACTGGTTAACAATATTCTACTTCGCGCGCGCGGGGCGGTCCCTGGGGGTCTCCGGGCGAAAAGTACCCCGACAAGGTCCCGGCAAGGTCCCGGCAAGTCCGGGTCAGAGATGCCGGACCGGGCAATTTTTCGACACACCTCACGAGGATCGTAGCCTCCGAGGGGGGAGCCGCACTCGACTACCCCCCCTCCCGCCCCAAGAGGCCCCCAAGAGCCCCGCAAGAGGCCCTGGGGGCCCCCAAGACGCCGCCAAGGAGCCCCAAGAGACTCCCAAGAGGCCAAGAGGTCCCCGAGAGGGCCCCCAAAAGGCCCTAAAGAGGGCTTCAGGGCCAGCGGAATGAGCGAAGCGATTAAATCGTATTCACACTGTTATCAATACTGATAGGCTTTTTTCTTCGTAATAATATGATCATTGCTTGTAGTATTCTTGTTAACATGATTAGCATGGCTAGTAATATTGTCACAAATACTATTACAATTCGTAGTATAATTAATCGGATTCGTATCATTCGTACTATTAATGATTAGCAGTATTCAAAGTATCGTGCTGAGTAGCATTCGTAAGTATGATTGTGATTAACCTGCTTGTTATCATAATCACTCTCAATATCATCACTACTATGGGTACTAGTATTATGGTAACTAGAATTGTGAATGTTAGCATTAAAACTATCACTGCTACTAGCACTCTTACAAGCAATGAAAGTAGTAACATTACTGTTAGGAGTATCATGATTATAAGTATCAGCATCATACTCATAACTACTACTAGTAATATTCGTAGCGGTAGTACTACATTAACTATACTCGTACGATTGTGGTTGGTAGTAGCACTGTTATGAGAATTACTACTACTAACCATGCGAATGTTAGCAAGACGATGAAAAATGCGAAAGCAAATAGAACTACGATAAGTGTGTTTAGTATTATCATTACTATTAGTAGTATGATTACTACTACTACTACTACTACTACTACTACTACTGCTACTACTACTACGATTCACAATAATACTCATAGTAACAAAAACGAGACTGTTAATAGACTGTAAATATCATGGATAGTACACTCGTATTATAAAATGCGAGTATCCGAATTATCTCCAGGTTACAACTATTACTGCTGGTATCACCAGTCATCCTCATCCTCTGCCTCCTCCCCGTTCTCCTCCTCCGACGAATCCTCCTTATCCTCCTCAGTTTGCCTCTTGTTCCTGTTCCTCTTCATCTTCCTCCTCCTCCTCCTGCTCCGCCTCCACTTCCTCCTCCTCCTCCCCCTGTCCCTCTGACTCGTCCTCCTCCTATTCCTCCTCCTCCTCCTCCTCCTCCTCATCCCCCTTGTCCTACACTTCTTCTTTTTCTTCATAGTAATATCATTATAATTATGTTTCTGCTTATTTTCTTAGCATTCTTATTATGTAGTGTGATTAGTATCATTATGTGTATTACTAGTCTTCTTCATCGTATTAGTAGTATTAGTTTTCCTCGAAGTATTCGTCTTGTTATGCTTAGTATGTTATTATTGTTATTCTTATTATTAGTATGTCTTATCATTAGCCTTCTTCGTAATATTATTGATATTCTTCATCCTTCTCATCCTTTTCATCCCCCTCCTCCTGCTCCCCCCCCCGATTCCCGTGTCCTTGTGATTCCGCATCCTCCTCCTGATTATCGTCCTTCTCCTCCTTCTCCTCCTTTTCCTCCTCCTCCTCCTCCTCCTCCTCCTCCTCCTGCTCCTCCTCCTCCTCCTCCTCAGCAGCAGCAGCATCATCATCAGCATCATCATCAGCATCATCAGCATCATCATCATCATCATCATCATCATCAGCATCATCATCATCATCATCATCATCATCATCATCATCATCAGCATCATCAGCATCATCATCATCAACATCATCATCATCATCATCATAATCATCATCATCATCATCAGCATCATCATCATCATCATCATCATCATCATCATCATCATCATCATCATCATCATCATCAACATCATCATCATCCTCATCCTCATCAGCATCAGCCTCAGCATCATCAGCATCAGCATCATCACCATCATCAGCATCATCAGCATCATCATCAGCATCATCATTATCATCATCATCATCATCACCATCAAAGCATCATCAGCATCATCATCAACATCATCATCATCATCAGCATCACAAGCACCATCATCATCATCACCCATCACACAGCATCATCATCCGCATCATCATCAGCAGCATCATCATATTCATCAGATTCATCAGTTTCATCATCATCATCAGCAGCAGCAGCAGCATCATAAATAGCAGCAGCATGATCATCAGCATCGTCAACACCATCAGCATCATAATCATCATCAGCAGCAGCATCAGCATCATCATCATCAGCACCAGCATCATCATCAGCATCATCATTATCGTCCGCATCAGCATCATCATCAACATCATCAGCCTCATCATCATCATCATCCTCGCCATCACCATCATCAGAGTCAGCATCATCATAATCATCAGCAGCAGCGTCATTCGCATCATCAGCATCATCAGCATCAGCAGCATCAGCATCCTCATCATCCTCAGTCTCATCCTCATCCTCCCCATCATCATCATCATCATCACCCTCATTATTATCAGCAGCAGCATCATCATCAGAACCAGCATCATCGTCATCATCAGTATCATCGTCATCTTCATAATCATCCTCACCATCATCATCATCATCATCAGCAGCATCATCATCAGCAGCATCATCATCATAATCAGCAGCATCATCAGCATCAGCAGCATCATCATCAGCATCATCAGCATCATCATCATGTTCATCATCATCAGCAGCATCATCATCATCAGCAGCAGTAGCATCATCAGGATCAATCATATCAGCATCATCACCACCATAATCATCAACATCGTCATTATCATCATCAGCACCAGCATCATCAGCATCATCGTCATCAGCAGCATCACCAGCCTCATCAGCATCATCAGCATCAGCATGATCATCCTCCTCCTCCACTTCTTCGTCCTCCTTTTCTTCCTCCTCCTCCTCCCCCTCCTCCTCCTCCTCGTCGTCGTCCCCCTCCTCCTCCTCCTCCTCCTCCTCCTCCTCCTCCTCCTCCTCGTCCTCCTGCCCCCCCCTCCTCCTCCTCCTCCTCCTCCTCCTCCTCCTCCTCCTCCTCCTCCTCATCATCATCATGCTCCTTTTCATCCTCCTCCTCTTCCTGCTCTCCCGCCTCCTCATCATCATCATCCTCGTCCTACATATTATCCTCTTCCTCATCCTTCTCCTCAATTGTTTTTTCGTGATCATGTTCCTCATCCTCCTCCGCCTCCTCCTCCTCCGCCTCTTCCTCCTCCTCCTCCTCCTCCTCCTCCTCCGCCTCCTGATTCTTCTCGTCCTCCTGCTCTTCCGCCTCCTCCTCCTACTTGGTATCCTCCTCCTCCTCCACTTCCTCCTTGTCCGTTTTCCTCCTCCGTTTCCTCCTCCCTCTTCATCCTCCTCCCTCCTCCTCCTCATCATCATCATCATCATCATCACAGCATCAGCATCATCATCATCATCATCCTCATCCTCATCCTCATCCTCATCCTCATCATCATCTTCATCATCACCATCATCATCATCATCATCATCATCATGTTCCTCCTCCTCCTCGTCCTCCTCCTCCTCTTCTGTTTCTTCGTGTTATTGTTCCTCCTCCGCCTCCTCCTCAACCTCCTCCTCCTCCTCCTCCTTCTTCTCCTCCGCCTCCCTCCTCCTCCTCCTCTTCCTGCTCCCTGCTCCTCCTCCCACTCCTCCTCCTCCTCCTCCTCCTCCTCCTCCTCCTCCTTCTCCTCCTCCTCCTCCTCCTCCTCCTCCTCCTCCTCCTCCTCCTCCTCCTCCTCTCCTCCGCCTCCTCATCATCCTCCTCCTGTTCCTCCTCCTCCTCTTCCTCCTCCTCCTACGTGGTATCCTCCTCCTCCTCCTCGTGTTCCGTTTTCTGTTCCGGTTCCTCCTCCTCCACATCCTCCTTCTATTATCTGAATTATTAAGCTTATTATTATCAGTCTTCTTAGTAATAGTAGCATTATTCTTAGTCGCATCATTAATATTACTATGTGTTGCTATTATTGTTATTAGTTATATGAATATTACTAGTCGTAGTATTGCTATTAGGATTAGTAGTAGTATGCTTACTATTGTTATTACTCAGTTTCTTCCATTTTGTCTTATTAGCAGTATGATTATTATTATGCTTATTCGCATTAGTATTAGAATTAGTAATATCATAAATCCTAGTAATAGTATCAGCGTTACTATCACGAGTATCATTGAAAAAGATTCACATGTTATTGTGTTGCATGTCATTCGCAAGTGTATTATAATTCGTCTTTTTATTCGTACTACTATCATTATTAACATTATTCCGTTTATTAATATGATGGTTGGCATTATTATTGTTATGATTGCGTTTCATATAAGTATTCACATTCGTCTTCGTCGCCGTATTATTCTTCCCATGATTACCAATATGATTCGCATTCGTATCTGTAGTATTAATAATAGGATTCGTCTTCTGCTTCTTGTTGTGTTGCTAAAATGTGTGTACGAATATTCGAATTACTAATAAAGATGTAATCCGTATTAGTATTACTAGGACTCGTAATATTCGCAGCATTTATATTATCATTGCTAGAATCATTATGTTTACTAGTGGAGTATGAATAGTAGTACTCGTGTTCGCCTTCGTATTATTATTGTCATGCTTGGTATTAGCGCTGTGATTCA